TTTGCAGTTAATCAAAAAGCAAGCATTTTTGTCAGCTATTTTATAAAAGAATTTGCTCATGCTTTTAGCTGTGCGTATATCGAGTTATGGATGCACTTGGGAAGTTTGGAGAGCACTCAAGAAGCTAGAGTTGCACTCGGCTATCGCCTCGTGCAACTCTTACGCATCTTTCGTGCTCTCCAAACTTCCCGCGTGCATCCATAACTCGATATACGCACGCTAAGCATGAACAAATTCTTAAATAACATTATTGGCTGTGTAATACTCCAAAACCGAAATTGCTAAAGAGAAAATCGAGTTTGGATGTGCTTCTAGCAAGCCTGTGACAGAATTTCTAAGGTGAAAAGCACACCAATATTAGCACAAACCGTTTGTTCTGTTGTTGTGCTGCCAGGTAGTGAGGTAGACCATATGAATCTGCGACAAATACTTTAGTACTTTATATCCTGTAGTGCTAAGTAGCGTAACATAAGCACTCGAAAAACAAATTGAGCAACCTTTGCCTATAAATTTAAGCAAATGCACCGTTTCACGATCAGCTATGAAGCCCTGCTCTCCACACATTTTAACATAATTTTACCAACAGCATTAGGACACCGCATAAGAAATAAAACCACTCATCTGTACAATTTTTTCCACGTTTAACGCTGTCTTGGCACGAGTAGATTATTTTCAGGATATTTATTATCGAAACCAAGCTGGATTTTGTTTCCTTTAACGATAAACATCTTCAAAGACGACGAAAATTTGTTGGCGAACGTGACTTTCCCATACTAAACTCTTACACTGGTCAGGTTTAATGTCTGAGTCATAGCAGGGACCAGAAATTTGTGACGTCATTAGTAGAAAGCGCTATTTATGGGAACAAAAGAAAGTGTTCATAAGAAAAGCGATCAACTCCCACAGGATTGGTAAAAAACACCAACATGGCCGCCATTTTAATGTTTCGGAACACCTATATGGCCGCCGTTTTAATGTTTCGGAACACCTATTTGGCCGCCGTGACGTCATGTGAAAATGCTCTATAGTTCTCTGTCCACTTCGGGTCGGTAAAATTTGATGGGGCTCAGTGGGTAAATAAATGAGGTTGGGATTGTTAAAAGAAACGTCAGTAGAATAGAGGCTGCTTCAAGAAGCCGTTTGGGCTTGATGATATGGGATCAGCTCCAAAGTATAAAGCAATTTTTGTAAATCTGTTGGGAACAGTAAATTTTTTTCATCTCCGTTTCACATACGTTAATATGGTTACTGAAAAACAAAAATGTAGAAACATTTTTAATAGTTTTATTTATTTATTTATTTATTTATTTATTCACTCATTCAGTGATTTTTCAAAAGCGTTGGCTTTGACCATTCGCACGGGCAGTTTGCAGATGGGGATAATGAGAAGAATAAGAGGGTTGTCATCTTTTTCTTTATCTCTGTGCCCAAGTGGCAAATATCCTGTGCGAATGTGATGACAAGTCGAAAAACCTGGAATAAATCAACAAGCACAAGGGTTTTCATTGCAGCTGAAAAATGGATGGTTAGAGGTGCTGGAGTTAGTGACTTTATTTCTTCTCAAAATGGGAACCTTCGTTGCTAAAAACTGGAAGGAAATTTCCGTATATGCTATTAATGTTTTGCTTTGTTAAGATTTGTTTCGAAAGGAAAGGGACAAATACAAAGCCAGTTTGATGAATAGAAGTTATTTGATTTCACAAAAGCGGTCACAATAAAGTAGTTCTTGTAGTGCTAACTGTATTTGCCCTAGGTTTCTGTTTACTAAAGTTTCTTAGCTTTGAGTAAAAATACCCTTTCAGATAGGAGTTAGTCCCCCGACACTCTTGCACTATTTTTACAAATCCGTTAGCGTAGCATTCTAAGCTTAAAATTTGACTAGCATATTGTGCAGCGAGTTGTATGCTCACGATTGACTTCAAACTTGCTGATATAAAAGAAGAGAGCTCTGAGACCTATTTGCTGAAGTTGAAAAAAAAGCTGTCGGAGGATTTATAATACATTTTTTTGTGAAAATGCTGTTTTAAATATATGCCAATATCTCAAACGTTTTTATGCCTACAAGAAAATAAATAACATTTTCTTAAAATTTCCACCATTCTTTATTTAAGGACACCGAAAATCATAGAAATCCGTTAAATCACCCCAGCTGAAAAACGCGATAACCAACACCCACATAGATTCAGGCCACCTTAAGCTGCTGTTCCTGTCAAACCTCGCCAACGTTGCGCTATTCTGGCGAACTATGGCTTCACATTTGGGGCGACTGGTAAATTTTAAAGGTGATACCAACATACAAAGTGCGCCAGAAGGTATTATATTTTTGTGAATATACAAAATAACATGGTATACAAACCGGGCGTTCCTCTGACATGGAATGTTCTTATTTGTTTGTCAATCCTTCATAAAAAAAACCCACATGAAAAAGCGGCGACGATGGAAGTAACCGGGGCGGAGAAAGACTGAAATAGTTCTGGAGTACTGATCTCCAGGGAAGGGGAGGGGAGGGGGGGGAGGGTCATCTTTGCTGACCTTAGGGAAAAGCTCAAGAGAGAATCATTGCTGTAGGTCACGTATTAACTGTTAATGAATCTACTTCCTCTCTATTGGTTTCCTGTTTTGCACAGAGTAAAATGAAAGGCAGAACTGCAAACAGAATGCCCATTGATCCAGCGGTATAGAATGCTATAACATAGGAACCGGCTTGGTCCGCTATAAATCCTGCAAAGAAAAGTTTTTCATTGAGTCAAGAGTGCAATACGGATATCGAGGGTCAGTCCCTGCAGTTGCTGAGTCAATTATTTTCAACTGACTCCCACTGCTGGAAGGACCCTCTCGTACGGAAACGTATCAGTACTTTTGAGCAAATACTGGACACACTAAGTGTCCTTCGAAGAGAGGTGCCCGCCCTATGAAGAGTCAAAGAAGATCACTTAAGAACTACAGGGACTATCTCCACTGTCCGTTTTAATTGGGGAGTTGTAATACTATTAATATCATAGGTGACGAACTACTCCTTAATTTTGGCGCGAAATTTCAGCGATAATTTGTAATTCCACATGTGAAATTACAAAATTGCCGTGGCAACCTTTAGTACGTCTCAGTGTCAAGATGGCGACGAAGTTTTAAAATGTCATGAATGAAGATTCCAGGGTATAAAAAGACGCTTTAGAAAACCTGAACACACGAAAGAGCTCATCAAAGAAGGATTCTAACAGGTATCTTGACCAAAAATCCTCAACTAAAGCCCAATTTAAGCTCCAGACGTTCGAGAGAGTGAAGTTCTCGATCGATACGATCCCGGATAATAAACATACCAGAAATCCAAGATTGCTAAGGTAATTCGTCACCCCTGATATTAATGGGTAATCAAGATGGTATACTCGTGAAATTAGGGAATAATTTCACTCGTCACCATTTGATTACACATACCATGACATACTACAAGTGCAGTTGGAGTACTATGAACTATTAAGCACTTTTGTCTTTAAAGAGGACCGTGAACTTTGACTTATATCTTATTAGCCAACTATATCGATTTTTTTTATAGATGCCAGAAAATAAGAACCTCTTTCAAATTTAAGGCTAAAAAAGTTCTTGTATCAGGGGGGCCTAACTGGCAAATTTTAGCCTAACAGGTTCTTAAAACAACATGTTCTTGGTCGCAGGTTGTTACTGCATACATGACGTACGTCATATGTGGACTTAGGAATTGGTCTCAGTAGTTCTTTCATTGGTCAGTGACTAAAGGACGCTCCAGACCCGAGTTCAGTTATATGTCATGGGTTCAAATACCGTCGAGAACTCAAACAATAAAGGAGACAGCTTGGCCGAGTGGTTATGGCGCTAAAATTGTAATTTGGAGGCCCCGAGTTCAAAGTCCCGCCCTGACCGCTAACTGGATTTGTTCTTAGTAGTCGCGAGTTCAAATCTTTTGCTACGTCTGTCCTGTAAATAGGCAACAGGTTTGCGTCCTACCATTGGGATTCTTAACCTTGTTATGTTTCATTTGAATTATTTCTCCCGGCAAGGGAGAGGATAATCAAATTATTATTATTATTATTATTATTATTATTATTATTATTATTATTATCATTATTATTATTATATACTGTAATATTGTTATTATTATAAAAATGGAAACTTTATTGATAACAAAGCTAACTGTAAAATCCTATTTATAATTTATTTCGCTTAAAAAACTATTCAGTTAAACACTATTTAAAATTCCTTTCGATTAAAATATATATATATATATATACTGTGTCAATAATTATTATCATTATTAGAATTATTATTATTAATTATTAAATGGGTTTAATTTAACAACTAACAAAGCCAAAAGGAGCGATTAATAATAAACCGCGCAAGCTTGTACCAACCTGCTAATGGAGCACCCGTTGCTATGGAAATTGATATAAGAGTGTTGGCCAACCCAAACGCCGAGGCTCTTTTCTGAGGTTCTACAGTTGTAAGAAGCAACAAATTACTAACTGTCACGCTTATTCCATCCCCGATTCCATAGAACACGCTGATGAAGACAAAGTGGACAAAAGTAGACGCAACTCCGAGCATGAGAACTGCAAGACCAATGACAAGTACTCCTATTTGGAAAACGTGAATAGCTCTAACCCCTCTAATGTCACACAATCTTCCAGCAGTTACTCGCGTCACGCAAGAGACAACACCAAATATCATTAAGAGCTTAGAAGATTTATCAGCGGATATATTCAAGTCTTCACAATGTCGAACCTAAAAAAGTAACAATGAAAAGCAAAACCTCATTACAACACAATGAGAAAAAACAAATACAACATAAATGTTTCCGCTTTCAGAAAAATCGTTACACCTGCAATACTATTTTGGAGAGAACCAAACAGACTTTTTTCCACTTTGCCTCAACACCAACAAAGCTGAATTGTACACACAAAGCAACATGAGGTGAATATTGACCATTTACCGGGGAATAAGGGTATCCACGAAAATGAGGGTCTCTTTGACGGATGACGGTTAAATTTTGCAAATTTTGACAGGTTGACGGTAAAATTTTAGAGCTTTTGACGACCATTAATAAAGTTATGAGGGGCGGGGAATTTTCCAGCCGCATGAATTTTCTTTTCGTCGACATTTCTCTTATATGAATTTTTTTTTAGGTCATTGAATGAATATTTTGTTCGGGTTGCTTGACGCGCATGATTTTTTTTTCACCTAGTTCTCATTTGCACTAGTGAAAATAGTCTTTTGTACTTTGCCCCCCCCCCGGAAAAGTTTTCTAATTGTCCGTCTCTAAATAGAAATTTAGTTCAATTGTTAAAAAAATATATTAACTTCAATCTGTATTACTTAATATTAATTGTTGTTTTTTGGAAGCTGTCTTATTAGTATGGAGGAAAGCACTTTTTCCCTAGGTTATAACAATGGGTTACCTCATGGACTCGACCCTTATGACCCTTACCCTTATCTTATGCATATGAAATCAAGGGAACTCGGAAGGCACTAAATTAGTATGCTGGAAGACACTTGTACATATTGATAAAGGGAAGGCATACGGAAGGCAGGGGAAGGCCAAAACGGGGCTTAATTTCATCCCTCTACCACTACTTCTAATGTACAAAGGGAGGCTACAAAGAATTAAGGTCCTTACTCACCAAATGAAATTGGCCTGTATATGTCACAATGCCGACTGCTGTGCTGCATGCAGCCGTAACAGTAAAGAGTGGAACTTTCCAGACAGAAAAGTCGATGAGTTTCCTCCATTTACTTGAGGCTTCTGCTGTGCATTCTTCAGGATTATAATCTCCTTGGTTGTAGAAAGTCTCTTTCTTCTTTCCAGGATCTTCATCTTCTTTTATGTTGGGATCGTACGGAAGTGGAAGAATGCAGTTCGCAAGCGTTACAAGCCCCAGCACTCTATACGCACCTTGTAGTCCATGTTTGTCAATCAGCAGGTGACATAAAGGGGCGAGGGTAAAAACACCAAGACCCGCCCCCGCTGTCACAATGCCTGTTGCCAAAGATCTACGCTTCCAGAAGTATTTCGTAACAATCAAGAAGTTACTCGTTCGGCAACAGCTGACGCCGAAACCAAACAAGACGCTATATGTCACAAAAAACAGGTCGAGTTTTCTCACAAACGAAGTCAGGATGAGACCCAAGGAACAAAACAAGCCACCAACGATACTTATGGGACGAGATCCATAGCGGTCACCCAGCCGTCCAGTTAGAGGAGACAGGAAAAAGGTCAAGGCAATTCCTATAGAACCTATCCAAGCTATGTATACGTAGAAAAGAGAAAAATCAATGATGGTCAGCCGGACTGGTCACTTTGAAAATTAAAGAAATAAGCTTTTCCGTAAGTTTTTTTCTTAAAAGAGCCCTTTGAAACATAGGACGCACACGCGCCGAATCACGCCATATCAAGTCGTGCTAATGGAAGCAAGGCAAGCTTTTGACTTTGCATTGATGTCTCATAAAGAAAAATCGAAAGATTGTTATTGTTTAAAGATATGGACAAAACCATACGAAAATATACCGCTAACGGATCTGTGACTGGAAAGCCTGCGTTACGAACCGAACGGTAAGGCGATTGCAACGTAGATCAGATAATGTGGTAATCTTTAAAATTTATAAATCACCATCAAATTCATTTAAATTGACAAAGATATAAACATATACTACGCGGTGTCCTCTTCAATCGTAATAAATGAAAGCAAGTCCAATACCTGTGTGTTCTCTGCTAGAGTAGAACTCATTCATAATCACCGGCAAAAAGACACCGAAATCTTGCGCGATGCCCATCAACAAGGCTTGAGAGATAGTGGCACAGATACAAACCAAAACAGACCATTTACTGTCTTGTTTGCATGGCCCTTTCCTGCCACAAAAAGTAACCATTATATGACTTCGTCAGCCCCAGTTTCACGGCAAATGCTTTTTTAAACTAGAAATACGTCTAAGAAAAACACAGACAGACTCTCGACGCGACAGTCAGATTATGAAATCAACAGGAAGCGAGTGTCAAACATTTACCGCGTGACAAATCTTGGGGAGGAGGCGCGGGGGGAGGGAGATTCACAGTTTTACCGTACATCTGGATGGGGAATTCAAGCCCTAGGGAGGGGCTGGACATCAAAAACTACCTTGTAGCTGTGTTCCTTTGTTATATTCACTTCGGGGATGAAGCCTGCCGGTTTCTTTTTGGCTCGTGAAAGTTAACGTGTTAGATGCTAGATGGGGTATTTTGCTTGAGATTATTTGTAAGAGAGCTCCAGGGGAAGACGGGGAAGGGGGAACTGTTGACTGTGGACTATTGAGGACATTATCTATTTTTCCGTAAGATCGTCGAGGTCGAGCGCTTAAAGCTACTTAGGGGGCGGGGGCGGTTTCGGAGCGAGAAAAATATTTTTCTCGCCCCCCCCCCCCTGCCCCTCCCCCTAGAGCTATAATCCTCGACGTCCGCCCCCTCGGTACATTTGAAAATCAAGATGGCCGTTATTAACGGTAAGACGCGCTGTATCTCAACGATCTCACGAAAAAATAGGGGATGTGAACAGTCTCAGTAATTCATGATTCAAGGTTAATACAAATCAGCAAAATACNAAAGTTAGGTGGTTGGATTGTATGGGGGGTTTTTTTCTTGAGTTTTTTTGTAAGGGGGCCCAGGGGGAGGGGGGGGAGGGGGGACTTTTTGACGTGGGATTTTGGGGGAATTTTTTTTTTTTCCCGTAAATTGGGGGGGGGGGGGCCTTAAAAGCTCTTTGGGGGGGGGGGGGGTTTTGGGGGGGAAAAAAATTTTTTTCCCCCCCCCCCCCCCCCCTGCCCCTCCCCCTAGAGCTATAATCCTCGACGTCCGCCCCCTCGGTACATTTGAAAATCAAGATGGCCGTTATTAACGGTAAGACGCGCTGTATCTCAACGATCTCACGAAAAAATAGGGGATGTGAACAGTCTCAGTAATTCATGATTCAAGGTTAATACAAATCAGCAAAATACAGAATTATCGGTCGGGATCAGAATCTGCGACTCTGATAACGGCTTCATGTAAATTCTTAAAAGGTCAGTCGCTCATAAAAAAATGCACTTTATTTGAGTGTCAATGTAGGCACTAAACACAGGACCGCAATTTTACGTGGTTATCCGAGCCACGCGTAGTCTAGCCATTTGTAAAGCAAAGGCAGTGTATGTAATTTCATTTCTCAGTCATTTTAAGATAGTGAATGTTGGTCCGGTTCCGGGAACCGAACCCTCGACCTCCCGCTCTGCAGTAAAGCGCTTTACCAACTGGGCTAATCCGGCTGCGGAGCCAAAAAAATCTCCGTTTTCAGTCAAAGACGGCGTATACGTGTGGACGGTGCCTAAGCCAACCAAAAATTACTTGCCACATTTCCCTACCCAAAAAAATCCCGGAATAGAATATTTTAAACCCCAAAAAATCCATCCATCAGCCCTGTCACTTAAAATCCGGAGAAACCCCACTGGGTACTGGGTCAGGAGCCTATGACCTGGAGCCTATATCTCCCATACAGCCCTTGGAGTCAACCCTTTCCCGAGTAGGCTCCTGACAGGCATGATCGATGTATAACATGTAAAAGATGAAACGTGATCTATGACGTCAAAAAATTATTTCTTAGGAAACAACAGAACGATTAGCGTCATGATCTCAAAGTATCGTGTGAATTATCAGGAATTACAGAAAAATACATTAGATTTTTTTTCAAAAATAAAATTATTTCGTCAAAGGGATGACACAGACGTAACCAAAAAAAAAAAAAAACGATAAAGAAAAAATTTGAATAGTATTTCTTTATGACCTTTAAATAAAAATAAAATTATTTCGTCAAAGGGATGACACAGACGTAACCAAAAAAAAAAAAAAAACAATAAAGAAAAAATTTGAATAGTATTTCTTTATGACCTTTAAATTCTAAAAATCACAGAAATAGACTCCAGTGCATGTTGAATAAAAGGAGAGACGAAAATAAAATAAAATAAAATAAAATAAGGATAAAAAGTAACACTATTCTTGACGCTATTGAAACATGAATGGAGTCGGTTTAGGATGGTCTCTTTCCTTAATTAACGAGGCACTCAGCCGAAAAAAAGACAGAAAAAACAATACTCGGAATACATTCATCTGATTTATAGTTGTATTTATTTATCTGTCTTAAAATTTGTACTTGGTAACGTACAAAAGTAATGTTTAATTACGCACCATTGGAATCAGTGAGAATTTACACTGTAGTATTGCTTTTATTTAAACGATATTGTAGTGAAATTGATCTTAGGCAAGAAGACTTTAAACGATTGACAAGTACGCCTGTCATATTTTGGAAAACTGCCCTGAAAAATGGGCAAATGCGGTATTTTTGTCACGGACGCAACCGAAATTAGTCATAATGCTTGACGGTATGTTGCATTAATTATAACAAATGCATTGTTTCTTCGCCTCCATATATGGAAAATGTCTCCCTTGGAAGTTTACAGATGGACGCACGCGCTCAGGGGGGAAGCTTCCATGTTTTGCTCACTCGGTATGTGTGCCACTCTGTATGGTATAGGCAGGAGCCCATATCGGCTCCTGGTATAGGTTTTTTTGGAATCTTCAAACTTTAAAAAAGCATTCAATTTCACTATTTAGCGTCTTAAACAGGGTTGCAATTTTCCATGCATTTTGCCTTAAACAGCTGGGGGTCAGAATCGAAGGGTTTCAGCAGCACAATCCAACCAAACTTCCTTTAAATTTTCCCTGCCCCCCGGAGATCGAAGTTTCTTCCCTTATACACAACGCCAAAAAAATTCGGAGTTGCAAATGAAGGAAATAAAAAGCGAGCAATAGAAAAAGAAAAGGGATTTCAAAAAAGATTCTCAGGGTTCTTTTTTTCGCGCCCTAATTCCCCTTCCCTTCCATTTCGAACGCCTGCCACGCAGGCTAGCACACAGGCAGCATGATTTTTCATTTCTTTCTTTTGGCGAGTAAAACAGACAAGCCGCTGGGAGATAATACTTTTCAGAACCAGTCAGTAAAACTCATCTGCTGACAGGCCTTTTCCTTCATACGGTTCTTCAACTGCTTTTTTGTATTCTCCTTTGAAGCTGAAATTAATGCCTTCTAACGATAAATTCCTGTAGAGAAATCTCAACACGCTTCACTAACGACATATATTAAGTTGTGAATGGTAACACTCAAGTTACTGAATGGCATGTAGGTGACCAGTTAGAGCAAGCTATTTGGATCTTATCTAATTTTGACCAATCAGGATTTTAACATTCGCCTGGTATATGTTAAAAACGAGAAAGCAATGGTTTCCTGGCAGGCGTTTTCCTCCCTCCTTCCTCGCGCGCCCCTCGCGCCTAAAACTCCCTTCCCAAAGCTCCCTTTTCCTTCCCTTTCAAACGCCTGCCACGCAGGCTAATTGCATGCCAGGTGCTCTGCTCTGCTTACGTCATAGGTGCGGACACCAAGTAGTCTTGTGTGACTTAGTCCATACAATGCATAATGACCACGAGTTGTTATATAAGTCATGACAGGAGGCACTCGTGTACACTATACGTTTGCAAATTACGTTTAAAAAAAGGTTAGGATATGAAAACATCCTCAACCTGCATGGCTCTCTTTAACCGTAACGTATCCTCTTATAAACAAGACAGCCTCTGGTCGTGGTTTATATGCCTTTGTTACACAATTTGCGTTATCCTTACAATTGGGTTATCGTATTCCCTCGGCGTACTTTTCCCCGTTCTCATGGATTCTTTTCATGAAGACCGAGAAAGAACAGGTAGGTCGGGTATCATAACAATCAGGGTTTGGCCGGCGGAAACACAATGGAGTGATGTGGAATATGTCAGGGAAATTATCAATTTCTCCCTTGTTAATTCCACCTACAACAACAACAATTTATTATTTAAAATTATATCTCTTTTATGTTTTGTCAGTGTGATTGTGATATTACCCATTCACTTATCACTTAGGCCATCCCCTTTCAAGGTTTTTTTCGTTTAGCGTCGAATGCGTTTTCTGATGTTGGGCCGGTCGGTCGGACTATCAAAGTCATTTGCCACGCAGAAGGACATCAGATATTTGTGACTCTTACATACATGGGGAACTAACGCGGTTGCGCAGTAGTATCAAATTGCAAGATGGCGAATCGTCCAAAGAGAGAATTATGCCCAAAACGTTATGCAGAGGAGAAAAATGATCTGAAGCGTTGCAATGCCATAAAAAAGTCGAAAACGGAAAAAGAGCTTTACGATAGGATATAGAGATTGTGCAGGTGGACAAGGAAAGGAAACGATTTAAAATTCATTTTGTTGGGTTTGGAAATCAATTTGACGAGTGGCGTTATTTCAGTACCAGCGGTGGACAGTTTCCGTTTGTCCGCTTGGAGAAAAGTTTTGTCCTCGGCGAAGAATCATTGGAGGACAGAAGGCATATTTTTCATGGGCATTTATACCGAGCTATTAAAAGAAAGATGTGGTCAAGCCGGCGAGAAGACCCTGAGGTCAGGATAGAATTACTCATAGAACCTGATGTGTTTTCCCGTGATCTCGGTCGGGCAACCAAAAGCAACTTTCAGATAGCGGGAACAGAAAAAAACTGCTTAATTTATTAACTAACGTCAAAACAAAAATGAGGGAAAATTAGGATAATCAGAAAGTAAAATGGTTAACTCGATCGATCGACTACTTACTTGTTTATTTGGAGCGTAAACGAGGGAAAATCGCCTTGCCCTGATGTACCTTTGAACCCGTCGGACTCGTCTTCTGTAGCCGTCACGAAAGCAGCAAAGCTAAGCAGTATAGCCAGCACCAAAGCGCTGAGTTCAATGCCCATTTTACGTTGACAAAGTTCAACAAACCGGAATAAATTATATATCAAAACGCGCCAAATTTATTGTAGTTTTTGAATCTGGCGGTAACAGGCAAGTTGGAGCATGCGTAGTCTCATTCTTGGCCCAGGCTTTCGCTCTATTCGAGATTTCTTTTAAACAGCCTTGTAAAATATTACGCAATAGGTAACATGAAATCGCTTGTTTACGTGTGAAAATCTCTCACTTTCGACACAACATGTACGTCTACGTAAGCCTTAGATATTTTTCTTTAAGAATATGGATGTAACAGAATGATTCCTTCATTAAAACCAACGAGAGAAGAAAAATTGTATCAATATTTGTCCTGTCCTGAGTGACCTTGGCCCCAGCAGGGTCACGCGATTTTCAATGTAACGCTTTTGTCTAGCGTGACAGGAGGCCCTGGTACCTCAGGATGACGTTAAAAGTTAACATTCACATATTTGGATTAACAAAATGCACAATATACTGTAAGAAATGTTCCTGTTTTTGTTCCTGTTTTTCTCTATGCTGTTACTATGCTCATTTTTCAGATTGAAAGAATTATTTCAAGAGAAAAATGGTTTAACTACGTCGTTACTTTTTTCTTTTTTGAAAATGCCACAAATTTGGGTCGGTCGGACGACGCTAAAGGGAGGAAAAAAGGAGGATGGCCTTACGTTTCGTTGCAAAAATGATAATGAAATGATCATGATGATGATGATGATGATGATGATGATGATGATGATGATGATGATGATGATGTCTGATGATAAATAATTATGGGTACCTTCAACTTACGTGGAAGATGACATCTGGGGAAAACGGGCTGAAAATTTTTGATAAAGTCGTTTGAAAATAAATGTAACTTGTTCTAGAAATATTTGAAGATAATTTATTTCCAGGTTTTAATTCATTTGGGGTAACTGGGACTTGTACTTGTCTGTTTCAGTTTTAAAATAGGGACCTTAAGCATCGACGACGAACTGCGCCGTGAAAGGACTGGATCGAGAACGTCGTTCACGGCGGGAAAATTAGAGAATTAAGCGCACGCATGCCGTGGACGACGAACTCGAGTTTCCCAAGTAAACAAAGGAAATGCGAATGAAGTGTTCAAAATGTCTTTTTAAAATTTTAGAGTTCAAAATGTCCGCCCTAAACGTTCCACAGCGCTTTGCCTGTATTATGTTCCTTCATAATTTCTTTGATAATTAGCAGATCAATTCGACATAATGTGGTCTACGTATTTCTTTAGATGCATCGTTGGTTCTCATTGTCTGAAAAACTGCACGAGTTCATAAAAAAACAAACAGACTCGAACCACACATGGCTTCACCTCCGATTCAAATCCATGCCACATTGGTGGGGGTTTAGCGCTCGCACCACTGTGCTGGTGCTACTGTTGTTGTTGTTCGACTCGGAAACACTTTGCCGTCGAAATTGACATAATTCTTTTGTGTTTCAGCATGGTTTACATCCATAGCTGTTAGCGTAATGTGCTTCACAAGTCCTACTTCCGGTGGCCTCCTCAACAGGTTTGGGATTCGCACTACCACTATATTAGGATGCCTGTTATGCTCGTCTGCTCTTGCTATGGGCTCTTTTGTTCCCACCATTGTGACCCTATTCATTGCCTTCAGTTTACCTTTTGGACTTGGCTTGGGGCTTATTTACCTCAATTTTCCCGTTGTTGCGACTCATTACTTCAAAAAGAGAAGATCCATTGCCCTCGGTTTCTTAATGGCAGGTCAAGGCATTGGGACAATGATTCTTAGCCCCACTTTGCAAGCCCTAGTGGACGCTTTTGATTGGAGAAACACGTTTCGAGGATTTGCAGGGCTTCTGGCTCTTGCCTCTCTAACAGGATGGTTACTTCATAAAGGGATTACTCCTCCAAATGAACCAGCAGAAGTCGCAACCAAGGGTTTGCAATTACATTTTGGACTCTTGAGGAATCCGGTCCTACTTATCCTGATATTAACGCAGTGTAGCTATGTCCTCTGTCGTCTCACGCCGTACGTTCATCTGGTAAGCATAGTTGTGTCATGCGCCATGTATTCTGTGAAAGAAAAAGGGAGTGGGTAGAAAAGGCTAGAAGAAGATATTAGAAAAAGAAGGGAACGTAAACAAAATTATATGGAGAAGGGAACACCCGAGAATAAGTAATGAGAAGCTAAATACAAACTTAGTTTGGTCAATATCAAACACTTAATCACTGGTCCTGAGGGAAACAGTTATTTATTTTTTCTTTTTTCGAGGGAAAATTAACTGTTTCCCTCGGGATCAATCTTTTAAAAAGCTGGATATTTTGAAGCTGGAAATTTATTAAACCTCGCTGTAAAGGCAGACTTCGGTGAGTATTCGCGAGTAGCAGTGTACTGTTACCCTTTGACGTTATAGATTTTGCAGTGTTGCCCGCTCAGAGATTTTTGGCGGGAAAAAGTTTGATTGTTAGATGCCATGTGACCTCGAAGTAACCAATTAGGGAGCGTGCTGTTGGGGAAAAATTTCCAGTTGTATAACAATTTAGGTGGTGGGGGAAAAAAGGATGGGATTAACCTTACCACTTTTAAAGGTTTGGTATTTGCCTCATGGGCATTTTCTTCCCATCAAGTCAAGTCAGGTCAAGTCAGGTCAAGTCAGGTCGGATTTATTTCACTTTTCAGTGGAAGAAACAGAATGAAAACAATGAGTATTTAAATTTCGTTAGTCAGGCATATAGACAACAGAAAATTAAGATATATAAGTGAAGGGAGTTGAAGTACCGTAAATCCTGTATTAAGCCCCCCCGGGGGGCTTATTTATTTGACGCTCATTTCAGGGGGAGATTAAAAGAAACGGGGAGTTTATTTGAGAAGCGGGGCTAATTTAACTTAGAAAAGACGATGGTATCAGTTCTCCGTAAAGAACTAGAATACAAAGTGGGAAAGCTGAAGTACAAGAAGGTTGAAGGTCACGCAGCCGAGGATCAGAAACTTCCAGTTGCTAAATAAACCATCCCGGATCGGATCAATCCACACGAAGTTTCTCAGTCTTGATTGATTCATAAAGTCTATCATGATCATCTATTAGTGAAGAATAATTAGGGGAGCACGGGGAGGGAGAGCGCTTATTAACTTTCTTACCCTGAAAAGAGGGGCGAGGCCTATTTGAGAGAGAGAGAGAGCTTAATAGAGGATTTACGGTAAGTAAGCCGAGTTTTTAAAGACAACTCCCAAAAGTGAAATCTATAATTCTATTTATTAAAGAGGTCATCCATTTTATGGTCGAATCATACTGGCCCATTATATACTGCTTTTATTTCTTCCTTAAAGTTATTTCTTTTAATTTGGATTGTTTACTTGCCTGTAATGCTGAATTAGGTGTGACAATGTGATTTATAGTGCGTTAAAGTTATTATTTTCTATGATCTTAGATAAAGCACGCTAATGACGTGGGGATTCCTGCTGATAAAAGCGCCACTCTCTTGATGTTTATTGGTGTTTTTGCGACGTTAGGTCGTCTCGGAGGAGGGTTTCTTTGTAATCTAAAGCTCTTCCAGGCAAGAATATTATTACAAGCATCCATTTTAATCATGGGAACCTCTGTGATGTTGCTGTCAGTGGCAAAGACATATGGTACATTGGTAGCGTTTGCCATTGTGTTCAGTGCGTCGGATGGAATGATGATGGTAACTTTTGTTGTGGAATGCATGAATTCAGTGGAGGATTCTAAACAAGCTTCCGCGGTTGGTTTTTCTATGATATCAGCTGGAGTGGTTGCTTTAGGGGCGCCTCCTTTAACGGGTGTGTGTCTATCATTGTATCCATTCTTGAATCCATTTGATCTGCCGGCACTTTCTAAAGTTAAGATCAACGCTTAAACTTGCAGGCTAGATTACCCTAGATTTTAAGCAAGTGATCATAAGTTGTCAGTTTCGTTAGCAACTAAGTATCAGGGCCCGGTTGCATAAAACCTGCACTTAAGTGACTTACTTAAAAGTAAGTCACTTACGAATCCGCTATGGGTACACTTACGGGTGTTGCATGGAACACACTTAGCACTCTCGTAAGTTTCTGTTTTACGTGGTAACTTACGGGCTCACTCAAGGGCACACGTAACCTTGATATAGTACTTTATTAACGAGTCACTCTTTTTTTTTTAAGCTAACCATCGGTGAGTGTAAAGAAAGTAAAATTCGTTTCCAACACTTTTAAGCCTCTCAAAAAATGAAATTTGCATGCAAACGTTATTTTTCTTCAATATCTACTGAGATCAGTAACGGAGTCGGTTACAAAATGAAACAGTTCTGATTCTTGCGACTCCGATTCTATTTACGACTCTGGTGTAATTATCAGAAGCATCCTTAAGACTCCGACTCGGTCGCTGAAAACTAAGATTTTGTTGTAGACACTCATCCAATGACGTCGTGATTTTATTTCATCAGGTTTCATAGCTGACAAATCTGGTAACTACATTGCCGCATTTCTCTTTGCTGGTGGAACGGGAATCGTTGCATCACTCGTTCCATTTCTTCTGGTTTGTGTAAATCAAGGAGCAGAGGGAAACATTGTTGATGATATCGAAGAGGTAGAGGGCCTACGAGAGAGTGGTGATGTAAATGGTAGAAATTTACAGTTGCTGCAGCGAAGCGGAGACAATGATGTACAACATGCCAGAAATAGTTCCATTATTCTTGGAACTTAATATTTAAATGGCTGGCAAAGAATCATCTAGCATTTAATTAGAAAGTTCAATTTGTATAAATGTAGTTATTCTATTTATTATTTTAAAGAAATTTATTGAATTGCTGAAAAAGAGCCCCTTTGCAATCGTCTTTCTGGCTAAATATCACCCTGGTACACTGGTAAAGGTATATGTTTCCTTCCCTTTCTAACGCCAGAGTGTTGTAGAAGGCCTGAATGCACTGACCCCAAAATGTATTTAAGTCCTGAATGTAATCATGTTTGGCCTTAAATTTCATAAGTTCTTAAAACATCTTCAGAAGCTAAGTAACCGTGAAATAACAACAGAAATTTAAATGTAGAATGAGTAACTTATTAAAGAAATAATAGAATAAGATGATATTTTTAATATGGTCTATTGTTAGGTTAATTACGTAGGCCACTGAATGTTCCCTCTAATATTTTACCCGGCTAAAATGACATTTTAATTTTTCACGATTTGACACAGGGTCCAGAGGAGTTTTGTGTGAATAAATGAATTACTTATTTTAAAGTCTCACCTTGAAAAATGTCTATACATGTCGCTTAGCACGATTAATTAGCCCAATGGGATCTTTATAGAAATCTACCGTAAACGATTTCTTCGCTTCTTATCTTGCGAGCCCTCAGTCTCTTGGTTTGCGGTCTATAGAATGTGTAACGAAACTGTAACGCGATCAAAATAACCCCTTTTTCAGAGGTTTTCGACGAGTTTTGATGTTCTATCGACAAACACATCTCCTCTGGACCCTGTGGATTTGAGAGCTATAACATCATCTGACCTTAGGGTGTCTTTTTTAAATACATAGTCAGGTCAGATGATACTACATTGTGACATATAGTGCTCAAATCGCGCTGATAATTCCTAGAAAACAAGACAACGACTTCATGAGCGCCTACCATTTTTACGGAAATTTCGGTGAAAATTTTCTAACAAATGGTACTGGTATTTTTGTCTCGCACCGAAAACAGGCAAGGGATTGAGTCTTGCCATTTACAAAATACCGGTAAAATTTTCGGTTTCTCTCCAAAGGAAGCTTGGAATTGGTTGTCCACACAAATTGTCGTTTCTGTCAAAGCGAGGAAAAGGTAATACTTCGCAAGTACCTTTTTTCTGAAAAATATTCACCTGAATGAACTGTTCCATTTGAATTCTCACTAGAATTTATACCGGGCCGGGTTTTCCATACAAAAAGTAAGCGCTCCAGAAAACAATATTTACACTTTATTGAAAACTTTTACCCGTTTGAGTTCATTTACTTGTTATATTTTGCCACACAAACTGTCTATTCCCATACAACAGGGTCCCAAAGAATTTAGGGCTTCGGGGCTCCGGACTCAAAATAGCGGAATGCCGGGGCTCCGGACAAAAGTAAATAGCGCTCCAGGGCTCCCGAGAAATCGATCAAGGGCTCCAGGCTCCCCTATGATTTTTTACTTCAATCCAAAAGCAAATCCTAGAATCATTGAGAAAATACAGCAATTTCTATTTTTTAAACGCTGTTTTTTGTTTTTATATTCTCCACTCTTCTCGTTTTTCACAGTTATCTAGAGTTATTTATCAATCATAATCAATGGATGTTCGGAAGGCGATCGCACTGGAAAACCGTAAACCACGGCCTACACAACGTCGCCAAAAAATTTGGCATACAAACATTTACCGTAGAAATCAGCATACACCGCTGCAAGAAGCCGGGAAGGAGGAACCGCAGTTTCAAAATGGTAGAGTGTTCGCATGTTCGGATGGTTTCAGTTACTATCTTCGTTCCGTTTCCCAGCAAACAACAAACAAAGCACGTTATGACGCTATCTGTGTGCAAGCTAGAATGTCCGAATTTTAATACTTGGGGCTATGGGCTCCGCAGCAAACGTTTTGAGGGCTCCAGGCTCTACAGTAAAAAAATATTAGGGCTCTAAGCAACGGGCTTCGGTTAATCCCCCTTTGGGACCCTGATACAAGCTCTCATATTTCGCTTGGGATACCTGTGCATCTGTGCCATTACTGCGACACAGATACACGTTGCGTGACACAATCGACATATGCAAATCAGTGCGTGAGCCGTGACACGCACTATACATTATATAAATGAAAACGATGACGCTGTTTTGGAACTATATTTTCAATAAGAATGAATCTTTTTTTCCGGAAAGTATCTTCTTACAAACAGGACAGTATCTGGTCATGGTTTATTTGCTTTTGCTACACAATTTGCATGATTTTTGTCGACGGATTAACGTTCTCTCTCGGAGTATTTTTCCCCGTTCTCATGGATTCGTTTAATGAAAGCCGAGAAAGAACAGGTAGGTTAAATTATTATTATAGCAATTGTTGTTAAAAGTGCAAAGAAAGGGCGTTCTGCTTCTAACGTTTGAAACTACGAAAACGACCGATCAACTCAAGCGAAACGGCCGCGCAGGTTGCCGCGTGGCCGATAAATGCATGGGCACCACGACTGAAAGAAACTGAATATAAACATTACTCAGTCATTAATTAGCAAATCGCAAATACAATTCCATTGGTTATTATAATCACAAATTGAGCAAACCCAGTCGAATCCCAATTTTTCGAACCACCTTAAACAAATTTGGTTCGTATTATCGAGAGTATTGAAAAATCGCTGGTAACGTTTAGTGTAGAAAAGCTTCTTTGTTTCTGTTTGAAGATTTAAGTATGGGCAGGTACAGTCGACTCCCGATAACTCGAACCTTCAAGGGAAATCGAAAAAACGTTCGAGTTATCGGGAGTGCGAGTTATCGGGATTTCGAAGAAAATAGCCGAGAGTAAGGTAAAAACAATTTAGTCACATTTAATTGTACAAATGTCCAGTGAAAATTAAAAGATACTTCTATATTATAAATCAGAACGTAACGTAACAAAAGATAGCCTATATAGAGCATGCGTTTTACTGTTTTGAGAAGAAAAGCTGCTGCACATTATCCTGTGGCAATCAACATCAGCTTCCGCTGGTAAACTATACTCCTACCATTCGTCCAAAATTCAAGGTTTCGGACGCCAGTATACGGCTTTTTTCCCGACTTTTTAAGGGCTCAAAACATGGTTCGAGTTATCGAGGGTAAAATTATAATAGAAAATGAACTGAGGGGAAACGAAAAATTACGGTGAATGTATAACGGAAATCCAGGGGGAAATCGATTTTGGTTCGAGTTAGCGCGAGCTTCGAATTAGCGAGGGTTCTAGTTATTTGGAGTCGACTGTATTTCGTGATGATCTTGTTAAGGTATGGAGAAGGTGGATTCTAGGTGACTCTGAATGGAACGCCATGGCTACGTTTTTGTTGTAAGCGGCTTGGTTGATCACGTGTAACACGTCGTGCTTTCAAAGTATTTGACACGGGACAATTCGACTTTTCGTGAGTGTAGCCCACTTCGAACTCGTAGTTCTTTTAAGCGATTCCTTCACTGTGGTTCCAAAGTCTTGGGCGTAGTTAAGAGCCCTAAATGTTTTGTGTTGAAGTGAGGAACCTCGTGTAGGTTTTCCACCTGCGTTGTTTCAAGTTTTTTGTACCTCGATACAAACTTTATCGACATCCTCTTTCGCGTCCCTCAATGTTACCTTTTTCGCAGACATATCTTTTTCGCGTATTTCAAAAGCGTCACAAAGATATCCAAGGGTTTTAAGAAATGAAACTCTTGCAGAAAGATCAATTTAAAAACGAACTTAATAGTCTCAAAAGTTATAACTGCAACATCAGTTACAAAAATAATTTTTGGTAAGTACAAATTCGTTGTATTTGTACTTAAAAGAAAGATGCTGATTTCTTTGAGCCATCGATTTCTTTTTGGCCAGATTAATTCTAAGAGTCACAGCTTTTTTCTTTGGGTGGTAATGTTTAACTTGACAATCTTTTGGGTCCGTGAAAACAGAAATCTTGTTAATATTAGAAGGCGAAATTTTCTTCGAGCTGTCTACAACCAACTCTATGACTGCCGCGTTCTGTTTGCCTGTACTGCCCTGGTGCCTTTTGCACATAGTAATATCAGTTAATGTGCCACCGGGTCATCAGCGGGACAGAAAAAAGTCAGAAAATAGCTGTTTCTGTTTGCAAAACTATGCTTTCATTTACATCAACGATCTTATTCAGCATGTAATTCATAGAATGTCACTTAACCTTGCGTAAAGGAAGTTTGCGATGTACAGTTGTGAACAAGAGATGATAAAGCTCTTTATCCTCTCTTGGTTGTGAATAAATACTGTATGTTTAAAGGACCAAACTCAAATTTCTTTATTTTTAATTTCTGGTAGTCAACAACTATGTCTCCTTCATAGAAATTAAGAATCTAATTAAGAATCTACTTCGCCTAAATTGCTAATAACTACCCCAAATAAAAGAACCTTTTTGCCAGAAGACCTAAAAAATGTAGGTTCTTATTAACGGGTGTTTATTGTAACGTTTACTGTTCGATTGTATCAGTTCTGTCCAAGATTAAAGGAAAACAGCCAACAGCCGACTCGACCCACACATGGCTTCACCTCCGATTCAAACCCACGCCACATTGGTGGGGGTTTAGCGCTCGAACCACTGTGCTGGTACTGCTTATATTCTCGTTGTTGTTGTTGTTGTTGTTTCGACTCGGGAACAATGTGCCGTCAACATTGACATAATTCTTTTGTGTTTCAGCATGGTTTACATCCATAGTTGTAAGCGTAATGTGCTTCACAAGTCCTGCTTCCGGTGGCCTCCTCAACAGGTTTGGGATTCGCACTACCACTATATTAGGATGCCTGTTATGCTCATCTGCTCTTGCTATGGGCTCTTTGGTTCCCACCATTGTCACGCTATACATTGCCTTCAGTTTACCTTTTGGACTTGGCTATGCGCTCATAAACCTTACTTCTCCAATTATTGCGACCCACTACTTCAGGAAGAAAAGAACCATTGCACTCGGTTTCTTAATGGCAGGTCAAGGGATTGGGGCAATGACTTTAGCGCCAACTACACAAGCGTTAGTGGATGTTTTTGATTGGAGGAACACGTTCCGGGTATTTGCAGGACTTCTGGCTCTTACCTCTCTAACAGGATGGTTACTTCATAAAGGGATTACTCCTCCAAATGAACCAGCAGAAGTTGCACCAAAAGCGTTTCAATTAAATCTTGCGCTGTTGAGGAAACCCGCCCTGCTCGTTCTGATGTTAACACGTAGTGTATATGCTTTCTGTCGGCTGACACCCTACGTTTATCTGGTAAGCTCGTCAGTTGTGTTCTCAGGGGAACGGGAACGGACTGTATAGAAATGCGGGGAGAGGATGTTTGGTAAGGCGCTACAAAAGATAATTATGAGGACAAAGTCACCTCCTAGAACTAGTAATAGGTAGCTTAAGCAAAGGCGTTTTTGAGCGATGCACGTCAACCGGAAATGAGGTTTTTTTCTTTTTAAAGCATCTTGACGCTACCAAGTTGGTATTTCTAAGTGTCTTTACTATATTATAGAGACGATTTGTCCAAAAATTTGGGCAAAACCACCGCCTAAAAATGAAAAAAGATCACTTCCGGTTGACGTGCGTGCTCAAAAACGTCTTTGCTTAAGCTCACTTGTTACATACGGCTGGTATTAGAGACCCTGAGCCACACAGCATTGCCGGTGTGAGGGTACGGGAAAATACTGGAATCCACAAATACGGGCCGGTTGACTGTCTCTTACCTGGGAAAACGCCGTGGCTGCCGGGTAGAACCATAATGCCAATAACAAATTTGTCAAAGCATGGTCCCCTTTAATACAAAGCCGGGCTACCTCAGCTGTGTAAGCTATGTTTCATGTGACAAATGAATTACATTCGGTTTATACTTTATTTCTATTTGATCTTAGATAAAGTACTCTAATGACGTGGGGATTCCTGCCGACAAAGGCGCCACGCTGTTCATGTTTATTGGCGTTTTCGCAACTTTAGGTCGTCTTGGAGGAGGGTTTCTTTGTAATCTAAAGTGGATTAAGGCAAGAATATTAGTTCAAGCATCCGCTTTTGCCATGGGAACCTCGGTGATATTGCTGACACTGGCAAAGACTTACGGAGCATTGGTGGCTATTTCAATTGTGTTCAGTGCGTCGGACGGAATATGGAATGTTACTTTTCTTATTGAATGCTTGAACTCGGTTGAGGAATCTAAACAAGCCTCTGCATTTGGATTTACTATGATATCAGCTGGAGTGTTTGCCTTAGGGGGGCCGCCATTAATAGGTTTGTGCTTTTCAATGCATTTACTGCTGACTAGGTTCTGACAAGAGATAATGGTTCTGACTAGTGCCATCGATAAAATCGTTATCTGAAAAAAAGGCTCTTTGCATAACTTGATCACGTGATCAACTTTCGGTAAACACGAAAACAGTTCACTTTTGAAAAATTTTGTTAGCACAGGCTGAAAGAGCAAATTAAATATAGGTAACCTGAGAATTTTCAGCCGTATATCTCTAAAGAAGTGATTGCAACGGCCGCCGAAAGTTTGAAGCATTTGTATGAGAAAAACAACTTTTGCCATCCAGTCACCCTTGCATGGTTTTCCATAAAAATCCTTGTAATTTCGAAATTTTCAAAAACTGTCATGAAATATTTCCTTAAGCATTACAGGGCTCAAATCTCCTTTTAATTCATAACAGACAATTTGAGCCCTTAAATGCGTAAGAAAAAGATTACACGACAGTTTAAAAATTTTAAAATTTACAAGGATTTGTATGGAAAACCATGCAAGCGTAACCACAGGGTCCAGAGGAGTTTCGTGTGAATAAATGAATTACTTATTTAAAGTCTCACCTTGAAAAATGTCTATACCTGTCGCTTAGCACGATTAATCAACCCAATGGGATCTTTATGAATCTACTGTAAACGATTTCTTCGCTTATTATCTGACCCAGATCGACTTTGTTGTTCGCCATTTTGAAAATCAATAACCGCAAGCCATATCCTCGCTTGCGCACGGCACGTCGCCCGAAGGGTAACCGAAGGGCGACCGAGGCACGAAGTGCCGAGTGAAAAAAAGAAGTATTTCATACTGTAAGCCGATCTTGCGAGCTCTCAGTCCCTTGGTCTGCGGTCTATAGAATGTGTAACGAAACTGCAACGCGATCAAAATAATCCATTTTTTCAGAGGTTTTCGACGCGTTTTGATGTTTTAACGACAAACACATCTCCTCCGGACCCTGGGGTGACTGGATGGCAAAAGTTGTTTTTCTTATACAAATGCTTCTAACTTTCGGCTGCCTTTGCAATCGCTACTTTTGAGATATACGGCTGAAAATTCTCAGGTTACCTAATTTCAATATGTTCTTTCAGCTAAAATTTTCAAAAGCAAACTGTTTTCTTGTTTACCGAAAGTTGATCACGTGATCAAGTCATGCAAAGAGCCTATTGATAAATCGATAATTATCGATAACCATATTTTGTTTGATATCGATTGTATCGGTCAATCAAAAGAAATCGATGGCTGTTTTATTTCGTTGTTAGCGCTATCGATTTTATCTATTTATCATATTATCGATTTCATGATCGTCATTGCCTTCGAAGTCCAAAACCCACTTGGCCTCGTTTGAAAAACTTGCGAACAGCTACCGATTGGTGTTATCCTATGATTTTACGTTTACTCATTTATAACCTTTCTTTATCCTGTTGATTTGAAGATGTTCTGTTAGAATAGTGAGTGTAATTTTTAAAATAAATTTTGCTACAAATTTATAAATAATGTACTAATGTTCCGAAAACATTATCCCGTTCTTTACCATTGTTAACCGCTAAAACACATGGAAATTTTAGCGCCGATTAAAATCGATAACTTTGATAAAAATCGATTAACATTGATGATTATCGATTGGCCACAACTTTTATTGATTTTCAATTTAATCAATCGATTTTATCGATAGTTATCGAGTGTTATCGATTATCGACTTTGTCGATTGCACTAGTCAGGCTTTATCGCAAATCCTGTATTGTACTTTTTTTAAGGAGGAATATGCCGGGGATGGCGGAGGGGGCGGGATATTTTAACAACTCTAACTCTGTCACTAGTTAAAACTTACTTAGGGGCCTAAGATTTCATTCTAGAGGCCCGTCACATTTTCGAATTTGACGTCATAATTATATTTCATCAGGTTTCATAGCTGACAAATCTGGTAATTACATTGCCGCATTTATTACTGCTGGTGGAGCGGGAATCGTTGCGTCACTCGTTCCGTTTCTTCTGGTTTGTGTAAATCGAGGATCAGAGAGAAACGTTGTTTCAGATATTGAAGACTCAATAAGTCTAGGAGAATATGGTGATGTTACTGAAAGACAGTTACAGTTGCTGCAACGAAGCAGGGATGATGCTCTAGAACATAAGAGAAAAAGCTCCATTCTTCAAGGATCTAAACAACAAATCAATGACATACTGGATATTGTTTCTAGAGAAACTGTACTTTAGAAGCTGTTTAGAGACATCAGTCACAAAAACGCGCAGTTGCTTACAGAATCATCTTTTTTTTCCTTAGAGAGTTCAATCTGTAATATTATAATATTATAATATAATTTTTATTTAACAATTTTCTGCTATAAAATGTTGCTTTATATTGTCTACAATTTGATATTTATTTAAGCTAAATACACTGAGACTGAAATAAAGTTCATTCAGCTGGAATTTATTTCTATTTTATTTATTCAGTTGCATGAAATGTATTGAAATCATGAAACTGCAATGGCCTCGTTCGCGCGAGCGTTTTTGTCCTGACCCTCAAGTATAAACCAACGACTAGCAAATTGAGCGGCGATTCTTTTTAGCACAATAAAAATAGCTTTACATACAATGGTATTATGGCTCTATTTTCTATCTGCTTTTTCATTGCTATTTACTTTCTTATGTTAGCGGAGTAAAACAACAATAACATCAATAATAATAATAATAATAATAATAATAATAATAATAATAATAATAATAATAATAATAATAAGGAAAAGTAGGTTGAGTTTGATCGTCCGGGTGAACGTAGTCCTGAATAGGACTGTTGTTGTTGACAGTGACTAACGTTTCGACAACCTGTGCGGTTATCTTCAGAGTCAAAGTGAGTTGTATCACGTCAGTTGATGGTATTATACTCTGGTTATTGATCTGACTGGTCAACTTACGTCGCGATGTAATTGGTCGTCTGTCAGATAAGCCGTGATGTTATTTTGGCTATGAAGACTCGTAATCAGTAATTGGTGCGTTTCGATCCGTCTGTTGTCACAGTTAAACAGTCGTCTATTGTTAGTCAAATTGTCAGTTCTCCAGTCGTTCTCTCGTAGTTAGATTTGCTTGATCTCGTCAATAAGTCGTTTGTACGGCGCTGGTAATTGTTGGCTACGGTTCAGTGGCGTTTGTTCTAAGTTAGTCAACCAGCTTTCTAAAGTAAGACGTTGATAGTAGTCTGTAGAATACGTTATACATTGCGCAGAGTCCCAGTCAATTTGATGTTTCGTCTGTAACGTATAACGTATTCTACAAACTACTATCAACGTCTTACTTTAGAAAGTTGGTTGACGACGTAATTGACCAATCAGATCAATAACCAAAGTATAATACCATCAACTGACGTGATACAACTCACTTTGACTCTCAAGATGACCACCGCACAGGTTGACGAAACGTCAGTCACTGTCTACAACAACAGCCCTATTCAGGACTACGTTCACCCGAACGATCAAACTCAACCTACTTTTGAAATGACTCCTGGGTTCAAACCTTTCACAATAATAATTATAATGATGATGATGATGATGATGATGATAAAGGTGATGGTGATGGTGATGGTGATGGTGATGATGATGATGATGATGAATAATTTCTCTATCGAGTTTTCTCCAGGCATCAGTCTAAAGGCGAACGCTGCAGTAGTTCTTGGGTAGACCATAAAGCAATTATCTCTGTCTTATTGTTAGTAAGTTTAAGGTCATTACATAAGATCCATTATCAATACCACGTACCCAGGATACCAAGTGAACGTAGAAACTACCCTAGCAAGGTCACCCGCAAAAGACGACTAAAAAAAAATGAAACAATAAGCTGAGTATCTTTGGCGTAAAAGTGAAAAGAAAACAATAAATATATGTAGCAACTTTACCTCACAGTAGTTTCGTTCACTTGTTTCATTCACGTGTTTGAAAAGATCATGGGGATAGTTTTAGCCGATCGTAAGAAAGAGGGGTTTCACTTTGATTATATGACCTTTGAGTTTTAAGATAATTGATGACTTGCAAGGCAATAAGATAAGGGCTGATTTTTTGTCGGAAATTTCGTGTTTACAAGTGAGAGCCTCTTATTCAGGGGCAACGTCTCCAAGTTTCATATTTTCGTGGACAACCCTAGCTAAAATTTCTGCATATTGCAAATACATTGTTAGTTACTGCTGTGGTGGTAATTTTTCCATATCTTTGTTCATGGCGACGAAGTTAATGCTTAAACTTGACAGGAAATGGCCCTGAAAAACCCCATCGAGCTACCTTAATCGAATTCAGTGCTGTAACCACATTCGCAAAAGCTGCTTCTAAAGTTTGAAATTCGTTTCCATTTGTGATAAAAAGTGATAATTTATATCATCATCGTCGTCGTCGTCGTCGTCGTCGGCATTAACACCATCATTGTCATCATCATCATCATCATCACTCTTAATATTAATATTATTAATGCTATTATTGATGTTATTATTATTATTATCATCATAAAATAACATCGCATAGTACTATCTAAACAGGGGACTTCATGGCCATGACAAAAGACGCTGATCTCTCATAATTCTTTCGAGCCACGCCGCTACTGTTTACAAGTTTTGTTTCATCTTGTTGTGTAGTAAGGTCTTCTTCTGCAACGTCTTCGCATTCAATGATGTCTAGAGGCATACTATCATGTTCACAAGACTTCTTGGATTCTTGTTTAAGGCAAAGAAGGAGAAATGGCATTAGAGAAGCAATAACCCCGACTCCGCCACCCATGAGAAACGCGGAAGTGTAATTACCAAAACGGTCGGCCATAAAACCTGAAACGAAACGATTAATATGTATCAATCTCTTACTAGTAATTGGGCTGAAATTAAAAGGCTCTCTACAAGGAAAATGATTTTCATTCCTGACAAACGCAGCTTTTAGTAGTGCAAGGGTTAGAACCTGAAAACGCGAATTTCTTCAGTGATATATTTTGGATTCGTCACCAACACATATTTATATGAATTGAATTACGCGCATTAGCTTTATAAAGTAGGATAGGAGCAATAAGCTTTTTAATTTTTTCAAATATAATTAAAGTTCAGTTTTTTTACGTATTTTTTATAACCAAACCCCAGAAGATTAGTTTCGCCCCTTTCCGTCAAAGTGATAACGTTCAAAGATTTTAAAAGACCTTTCAGTAATCCAGGAGCAGCAGGCAACTATATTGTAGCCTTTGTTCCAGGCTCTCAGATAGTAGGGACCTCGCAAAATCAAACCAAGCGAAAATGAGACACGTGATCTGAGGGAAGCAGGCGCAATGGCGCCTCCGCTTTCCCCAGCCCCGCGCGCTTTTCGCACCAGATTTTACGATCACTCTACATTACTACTATAGAGCCTGGAACAGGGTACTAATACAAGTAAAGGCACAGCAGTTTGTGTCCTTCAGATGGCCAATCGTCACAATGCTTTTATATAGTCTAATATTAAGTCGCAATTTCTTCTGAAACGAGGTCAACATTCGTAGTCGTGTCAAAGCCTCAAGCTCTTTTATCTCTTCAGCGAAGGACCCGCGCGAGCAGAACGTAATAAATAAACCTAAAACGTGCGCGTGACCGCAAATACACAGGACACCCATCGCCCAAGCCAGTAATCCCATTCATACTAGCCCATTTTTAAGTGTACTTTTCAAGCTTGCCGTAATGTACAGTTTCCAATAACTTACCAGACAAGGGCGGGCTAGCCATAGCACCAGCGCCACCCACCAACATTGAATATCCGAAAGCTGAAGATCTTTTTGATTCCTCTACGGAATTCAAAAATTCAATAATGTAGGAAGTTACCATAAGGCCATCCGACAAACTAAAAACAATGGCATAAGCCACTAAGGCGCCATAGGTTTTTAAAACAGTCAGTAACATTGTGGAGGCGCCCAATGTGAAGCAAACGACTTGAAACAAAGTTCTTGGTTTCACTTGCTTAAACGTACACAGGAAGCCTGCTCCAAAACGACCTAACGTTGCAAAGATACCAATGAAGAGGTAAAGAGTAGAGCTTTTGTTTGCGGAAATACCCAGGTCATCACAGTATTTTATCTAAAAGGAGAGAGAAATGTCAACATTGGTTACGATTACAATATGAATGCTCGACAGAGCGGTTAAATAGGACAGTCCATAACCTGTTTGAGGCGCTCAGATAGTAGGGAGCGAGGGGACTGAAATAGGCGAGGAAACGCGAACACCTGGGAAATGGGATAGCTCTCTCACGATCCCGGTTTTTTTCCGCTCTTCCGCTAACTGAACGCCTGGAACCGGCTGGATAGTCCAAACCGAATAAATAAGCCATTTATAAGAGGTCCAAGATTAACCCTGTAAGATAGCTAGAAAAAACAGTTCTTCTTCCTCCTGTGAACAAGACTCTCTGTGTGATGCTTCCACTTTCGGATGAACACAGAATTTATTCACATATAAGCTTAAGGAGATAGAACCGAAGACTCCACTCAGTCCTCCTAAAAGTCGTGAATTCGTCCTCAGCTTTACATATCACATGACCATAAATTACTTAATTAAATTAGGTATCAATTAGGACGCTGCTGAGCAGTTCCAAGGAGATTACTTGCGGAGTCTTGCGTTTATATCAAACTTAGGAACCTGACTAGTCGCACCAACAATAGCTAATTCACCTAAAATGTAATTTTATATCCCGCAGCTGATTACATTACTTGCCTTTTTTCAAGCAATACATGTTGATATCGTAATAGCAAAGAGTTTTCTTTTGCTTAAGATTATAGGAAGTTTTTAAAAAGGTGACGAACGGACACACATACTGCAACTTACAAACCTGGCTTCCCCAACCTCACCCACCGCCCCCCCCCGTTCACTTCCCCCACTCCCCTCCCCGCGTTACTTAGAGAGCTGTCTCACGACTCATACGTTCTAAAAATTCAAACGGTGGGTACTGCAAAAAATGGCGTAAAACATAAAAATAGCAGCTCAAAACGTTAAAAGAAGGTATAAATAACACAACATACCGGCATACAAAAAAGGCTCGGGTGGACAAACTTGAAGAAGATTGACACGGATTGGAGCAATTGTGGTCTTTGAAAATATGTTAGCCCGACAGTTTTCTCAATGTTCATTTTTGTTGTTTGTAATTTTTGGAATAATGCTTGGCAGGCATATTTGCTAGACACAAGACTGGGATTTTGTAATTCATAAGTTGTTTCTCAAGTTCCATTGAAAATAAGGACGCATAGCTGGCACTATACGGTATGTAATAAGTCAGTGGCGGATCCAGGGGAGGGGCCCGGGTCCCCCGGGCCCCCCTTATCTTTAGACCAGGGCTGAAAAAAATTTTAATCCACCCCCCCACCCACCCCCCCTTATCTGAAGGTCTGGATCCAGCACTGTTTATAGTGTATTGTGGACTAGACCCCTGACACTGTAGTGCCTATAAGAAAAGACAGATGGCAAGGCACACTTACTAGATGTACATAAGGCACCATGCGAGAGAATGTGTAAACTCCTGCCATTATACTCAGCACGAGAAAGGTAGGATTCTTAAATAGTGACAGATTTAAGCTAAACTTCCTGGAAGAAACCTGTCCTTTCTCAACGGGAGATGATGTGCCTTTGTGCATAAAGAAACCTGTCAATGATGCAAGAGCTAAGACCCCAGCAAACACACGGAAAGTGTTCCTCCAATCAAACATGTCCACTAATGCCTGTAAAGTTGGGCCAAGAATCATTGTCCCTAACCCTTGCCCCGCTGTCATAATACCAAGGGCAACAGATCTTCTTTTTTCGAAGTAATGAGATGCGACAACTGTTACAGTTACATAAATAAGGCTTATGCCCATTCCAAAGGAGCAACTGAAGGAGATGTAAAGAAGGTTTAAACTTTTTGCAAAGGACCCAGCAGCAAGAGCAGCTGAACACAGCAAACAGCCTAATATGG